AATCGGCCCAAGTTGAGATTCGCGATCTAGATGAGTTAGCGACCAAAGAGGAGATCTTGGAGGCAATTAGGGTGGAGTTGAAGGATAGCTCACTCCCCATTGAGGCTATCAAATCGCTTCGGCCAGCTTTTGGTGGACAGCAAAGAGCTACGGTTGCTCTTCCAATTGGGAAAGCTAAAACTCTGCTCGAGCTGTCCAAAATTAGAATAGGATGGGTAGTTTGCCGTATCCGAGCCGTGGAGCAGCCTAAACGCTGTTTCAAGTGCCTCGATTACGGTCATATGGCAGCTAACTGCGGCAGACACTGTGACTTAAAGGGCGCCTGTTTCAGGTGTGGAGAGATGGGTCACAGTGCCAAAGCATGCACCAAGCCACCAAAATGTAGCCTCTGCATTCAGCAGGCAGCTTCAAGTGCCCATCTTACCGTGAAGCTGCTCGTAAAATGAAATGTTAAGGTTTTTGCAGCTTAACTTAAATCATTGTGTTGCTGCCCAAGATCTTCTAAAGCAGACCATTAGGGAAAAATGTATAGATGTAGCTTTTCTCAGTGAGCTTCACCACTGTAGAACCAGCTGCCCTAGGACATGGTCAACAGACGTTAATGGCAAAGCTGCGTTGTGGGTATGCGGCAACTCAACGAACGTACTTTCGAATGTTAAGTCATTCAATGGGTTCGTACGTGGCCGATATGGTAGCTTATGGCTCTACAGTTGCTATCTGGCCCCCAGCATGCAGCTCAGTGAATTCACGACGGTGCTCGACGAGCTTGCCGAGGATGCTAGGGGTCGGAAGGCCATTATAGCTGGAGATTTTAACTCCTGGGCGTTAGAATGGGGTAGCCCCACAACAAATGCCAGAGGTCGTATCCTACTGGAGATCTTCGCGACACTAGATGTTGCACTGCTCAACACTGGCCATGAGTACACCTTCAGTCGGGCGGGATACGGGTCTGTTATCGACATTACTTTTGTCACTTCATCCCTCTTTCGGGGAGCAACATGGAGCCATTGCGATAGCTATACAGGCAGCGATCATACGGCACTTCTGTTCACAATAGGTGAGCCACCTGCCAGGGCGTCAACATTGTGGAGGGAGTCGTATCGGCTAGATACTTTTGATCCCGCGGTCTTTTCAGAGGCCATTCAGTCTCTGGGTACAATTGGTAATGCTGAGGCCAGAGCATGCCAAATGGTAGCCCAAATACAGAGTGCCTGCAATAGCAGCATGTTACGCCGTAAGCAGCTCACGCGACAACATGAGCCTACGTATTGGTGGAATACGCAAATAGGTGACATTCGTCGCAAATGCATCCAGGCGAGAAGAAGCTACCAACGGGCTCGCGGTAGGTCAACGTTTTTTGAGAAACAGTTAGCTTACCAGGCAGCTAGAAGACAGCTGAAGAAGGCCATTCGGGCAAGCAAAAGAGAATGTTTCTTACAGTTGTGCGACTCAGCCGAATATGACCCTTGGGGCAGGGCATATAAGATAGTAGTTAAAAGACTATACGCAGGTAGACAGGTGCAGCCTACGGATCGTCTGGAGCTTAAATCGATTGTGGAAACACTCTTTCCAGAAAGTTTAAGCTCCATTCACGCCCCTGAGTCCGAGTCTGCTGATCAAGGCTCAACGAGCACTGAAATTGTTTTAGTTACAGAGGAAGAAATATCAGTAGTTCTCCGAGGTCTTAGAACCAACACAGCTCCAGGGCCGGACGGGATCCCAAATCGTGCGCTAAAGCTAGCCCTCGCCTTGCACCCAAGTACGTTTGCCGAATTATTTAACGAATGCCTGATCCAAGAGACGTTCCCGGCAAAATGGAAAGCCCAGAACCTGGTATTGCTACTCAAGGCTGGCAAACCACCAGATGAGCCATCTTCGTACAGACCGATCTGTCTCTTAGACACCAAGGGAAAGGTGTTTGAGAAACTGATCTGCTCAAGGCTGGAGACTGCGATTGCAAGCGCCGGAGGCCTGTCACCAAACCAATTTGGATTCCGGAAGGCCCGGTCAACAACGGACGCGCTTAACAAAGTTGTCGGTCTGGCCACTTCCGCCATTCAAGGCACCAGATGGAGGCACGGGACGAAGGAATACTGCATCATTGCCTTCAACTAGCTAGTTGGGATATGATACTGAATGCGCTGTCACAATATAATATCCCTAAATATCTAAGAGAGATAATAAAGAGCTACTTCAGAGGAAGAACACTGGTATACAACACGAGTGAGGGTCCCCAAACTCATACAGTGTCAGCTGGAGTACCCCAAGGCTCAGTGCAGGGGCCTCTCCTATGGAACATCATGTACGACGGCGTACTGCGCTTGGAACTACCAGCAGGCGCGCACACCATTGGCTTTGCTGATGATGTAGCTGTCGTAGCCATAGGAAAGGAGCTCAAAGATACAGAGGATATGTGCAGCGAAAGTATCAATCGCATACGAAGCTGGTTGACAGGAGCTGGGCTCGAGCTAGCGGCACACAAGACCGAAGTTGTACTGGTCAGCAGTCGCAAAAGAGTGGAAACTGCCAATATAAAGATCGGCAGCGTCACCATTGCGTCAAAGAGGGCGATAAGATATCTTGGTGTCATGATAGACACAAGATTAACCTTCCGCGAGCACTTAGAATATGTGCATAAAAAGGCAGCTGATTCTTGTAGAGCTCTCTCGAGAATCATGCTTAACACGCGGGGACCTAAACAGCAATGACGTCTCCTCTTAATGAGCGTCATTAGGTCTGTCATCCTCTATGCTGCGCCAATATGGGCAAGAGCGATGGCAGCGCCGAGCTACAGCCGAGGCATTTGCGCGATCTACAGGCTGAGTGCAATCAGAGTCAGCTGCGCTTTCAGGACTATCTCCGATGACGTGGCGCTCGTCATAGCCGGTATGGTGCCACTGGAGTATTTGGTCGCCGAAGCCGTGGAGCGGAATTCGCACGGGCCTACGCGACTCAATTCTGTCAGGGCGAACAGCATCGCACGATGGCAAAGAAGGTGGAATAGCTCAGCTAAAGGGCGGTGGAGGCACAAGCTCATCCCGGAGCTTGAACCATGGGTTAACCGCAAACATGGCGAGGTTAACTTCTACCTTACGCAGATCCTCTCGGGTCATGGATGCTTTCGGAGCTATTTGAAGCGCTTTGGCCACGAGGAATCTGACGAGTGCCCCTGGTGCGAGCGAGGGCATGTGGAAGACGCCAACCACATTCTTTTCGAATGTGGACGGTTCCTGGAGGAGAGGCGTCGTCTGGAAGAGGCAGTGGGCCGCTCCATCAGAGCGGACAACTTAGTCAACGCCATGCTGGAATCGGAGGAAGCTTGGGAACTAACAAGCACCCTCGCGGCCACAGTGATGATGGACCTCCGCAGAGTCGAGCGACTGAGAAGACGAGCTGTCCCAGGCTAAGGTAGCGCATAGTGCTTGCGAAGCAATGCTTTACGGCCGTCCCGCAAGCACCGCGCGCTATCCTAGCCACCACGCAACTTGCAATTTGTTTAATTTTGTCAATAAATGAATATAAAAAAAAAAAAAAAAAAAAAAAACACACATACACATACACACACACACATACACAAACAATTACATACATATACACACACAAGCATAAACACGCATGGGCGGCAGTGAGCGCTTACTATGAGAACTTAATTGCTTAATAACTTTTTTGTGGACGTACGATCTTCATGAAACTTTCAGATTATGATTATGACATGGATATGCATGTAATTGCCAAAGCACAAGTCTTTAATATTTGAAATACGCTTTTTACAAAAGTGTGGGTGAGGGGGTGAATTTAAGGGTGGGGGGTAAATTTTTACAAAAACCGAAATTGTATAAATTGCATATAGGCATACATTAAAAATTTGGAGACTCTAGCAATAAAGGTGTAGAAGATATAATTTTATAACTGGTTTTCGATATGGTTTTTTATCGATAAAAAAAGATCGGGATGAGTTATCGATTTTTAATGATAAACTTGATATGCGCGCTGTGATTACGAACATTGTAAACAAAATTTGAAGTCTCTAGCTCTTATATCTTCTGAAATCGACGCGTTCATACATACGGACAGACGGACAGACGGACGGACGGACAGACGGACAGACGGACAGACAGACGGACAGGGCCAAATCAACTCAGCTCGTCGCCCTGATCAAGAATATATATACTTTGTGGGGTCTGCCACGCCTCCTTCTGCCTGTTACATACATTTCAACAAAACCATTATACCCTGATTTCCCATTGAAAATGGGTTCAGGGTATAAAAATGCCCTTTAGTATGTCTGAAATTTCAATTTCGATGTATTTAAAAATATAAATAAAATACCAAACTCATTTAATAAAATATAAAAATATTTTGAAACAATTAAAAAAGTTAACATCAGTTGCACCGATCGGGATTCGAAACGCGACTTCTCGATCGATCGTCATGCAGCTAACACACTAGGCCACCCACTCCTGCTGGTGGCGCTGGCAAAACTCAAATAGATTCACTGCTGCAGCGCCATCTACCAAAACTAAACGAAACTAACTGCTGATGTGATTCTAAGAATCTGCTAGAATAACCAAACTATTAAAAACGCATGTAAGATCAGAAGCGTTTTTCTGTCTAGCATGAGTTCAGAGTATGGGGATGCTGTTCTAACTAAACAAATGAGCCGTATATGAAATTCAGCGCATCGTAGGTGCAACGTTTATTCGTAGAGTTCTTGATATACACTAAAAGTACAAACGTATGAGCAAGCGCAGCTTGCTTAGAGCTAGGCGAATTAATGCAAGTAATAAGAGTTCACCACGCAAGAGAGATAGAGTAATTAGGGTGAACCCAAATGTAAAAATATAGGTATAAAATTCAAGTTAACAATAAGATAAGTGAATTTGGCCCAACATCCCGGCCCCATTGAATGACGCAGTCTTTCAAGAGACAGGAAGAATCGCTATTTTGTGAACTCGTCTCCGGATTATGCCTTTGGTAGTGCGGACATCTACCACTCGTACTCGTTGATCTCGTCCAGGAATTGTAGCTGTAATGCGACCCATTATCCACTTCTGAGAAGGTACGTTGTCTTCATGTATGAGAACCATGTCCCCGATAGAGATACTGGGTGATGGTTTGGTCCACTTGTGGCGCACGTTCAGCTCATTGAAGTAGTCAGTCAACCAGCGTCGCCAAAAATATTGTTTGATACCAGTTATCCAACGCCAGCGATCCAAAGATTTCAACTGTTCATCTTCTATATTGTGTTCAGGCAATGCTCGCAGGGAGTCTCCAACTAGAAAGTGACCAGGTGTCAGAGCACTCAAGTCGCTTGGATCTGATGATAGTGGTGTGAGTGGGCGTGAGTTGAGGATGGCTTCTACTTCTGCTGTGATTGCGTCCAATTCCTCAAACGTGCAGCGGGCGTTCATAAGGCTGCGCGTCATAAGCCCCTTGGCGCTTTTAACTGCGGCTTCCCAGAGGCCGCCAAAGTGTGGTGCTCTGGTTGGGATGAAACGAAAGTTTATGAATTCATTTGTGCAAAAACTAATAATTGACTGTTGATTTTCTTGCTTGAAGAAGTAGGTTCGCAGTTCCTTTAATTGATTGCTTGCTCCAGTGAAATTCGTGGCATTGTCGCAAAATATATCCACAGGCAATCCTCGTCGTGCAATCATGCGCCTCAACGCGGCTAAGAAAGCATCCGTTGAAAGGTCAGATACCACTTCGATATGCACAGCCTTGGTGGCGAAGCATACAAATATGGCAATGTAGGCCTTACGAGGAGCCTTGCCCTGAATGCGGAGATAGACGTTGACTGGTCCACAAAAGTCAACTCCACAGTGAGCGAAAGGTCTCGATGGCGTCAATCGCTCTACAGATTTCCCATGAGTTGCTGTTGCAACTTTGGCTTGTAGCGCACACAGTGCACGCACCTTCTGACAATAGAGCGAGCCAGGTCTCGAGCATTTATGATCCAGAATTGCAGACGAATTAGTGCGACAAGTGCCTTTGAGCCAGCATGATAGTGTTGCACATGAAGAAACTGCACGTAGTGACGAACAAAATCATCTTTGCTGGGAAGTATGATTGGATGTTTCTGAACCTCCGGTGCATTTGCCAATTCGAGACGGTCGCCAACCTTCAATAGTTGATATCCGTCTGTAATCTGTAAAAATGGATTTGGAAATTTTTTATGACTTGATATTTGCCTATTTTTGTTCAAAGCGTTAATTTCATCTGCGAAGTGTTGCTGCTGCAGATTCCAAATAATGCAATTAAATGCACGCTGTATCTCTTGAGGTGATGGCGAGGGCGTAGACAGCTCAACGGGTTTCCGAAGCGCGTGTATAAAGCGCAGCATCCAAGCAACAATTCGCAAACAACGACGATGCGAACTTATGTTTCTGAGTGTGTCGAGTAGGTAGTTGATATCCGTCGTAGCCTTGAAAGCTGACTTGCGCATCTCAAGTGCTACAATCTCAGGATCTGGTTCATGATGTTTGTCTCTTGGCCAAGTGTGTGAGCTCAGCTTTAGATACGCCGGCCCCATAAACCAGATTGATTCGTTCAATTCGATGGGTGTACACCCCCTCGAGACCAGATCGGCGGGATTCAATTTAGTTGGGACATGTCTCCAATGACAGTCCGGTGTAGCTTCTTGTATGTCAGAAACGCGGTTTCCAACAAAGGTTGATAGTGTCGACGAATGTTGCTGTATCCAATGAAGAACTATCGACGAGTCGCTCCACAGATAGGTTTGTTTCGATGTGAAAATCCCCTTGATTTTCACGTAGAGTTGGGCCAGTAGGTGAGAAGCAGCGAGTTCCAGTTTTGGTAGCGATAACTTACGAGTTGGTGCTACTTTGCACTTTGACGTGATCAGGTGAACTTGAACCTCGCCGTCCGCTGCAACTGTGCATGCGTAAATGCAGCATCCATATGCACGTATGGAAGCGTCACAGAATCCATGCAACTGCAACTCCTTGGTGTTCGGCTGCATACAGAATCGAGGTATTTTCAGCGACTCCAGTGAAGTAAGTGATGCAGCAAACGATTTCCAAGCTAAATAAAGGTTTTGCGGCACAGACTCATCCCATTGTAATTTGACTATCCACAGTTCCTGTAGAATGATCTTTGCTGTCACAATGATTGGCGCTACCAATCCCAATGGATCAAAAAGTGAAGATGCCACAGATAAAATTGTCCTCTTGGTGATTGCATCAACGGAGCATTTGGGTCGAAAGGCAAATAGCAACACACCCAGACGTTGGTTCCATGCTAAGCCCAATGTGCTAGTAACTGAGCCATCTTCTAGATTCAAATCTTTGAACGTGCTGTCGTCGACAAAGTCCGGATGATTCGAATGCCATTTTGCTAATTCAAATTTGCCCTTGCCAAGTACTTCGATGACCTCTGCCTTGAGTTGTTGCAGGCCTTCTACTGTGTCATGCCTACAAAGAAAGTCATCCACGTAGAATGATGAATTTATAGCTTGTGATCCCAATTTGTGAGTTTGCATATGTAGATCAGCCAAATATTTCATACTGCGTATGGCGAGATATGGTGCTGAGGCCGTACCATATGTGACTATGTTTAGTGAATATGTCCGTAGTGGTTTGTCTGTTGAATCTCTCCAAAGAATGTATTGGAACTTGCGGTCACGATAGTCCACCAATACTTGCCTAAACATTTTCACAACATCTGCAGTCAGTGCAGTGCAGTACGTTCGAAAGCGTAGCAGAAGCGTATATAGATCGGTCTGAATAGTCGGTCCAACCATTAGCAAATCATTGAGTGATTGTTGCGATGAAGTTCGATTTGAGGCATCGAAGACAACTCTGAGCTTCGTTGAAGTGCTATTTGGCTTGAAGACGCAGTGATGTGGTATGTAATTATGTGGCTCGTCAAGCCTTGGTGAGTGTACCAAACTCATATGATTTAAATCTTCATATTCGCGCAGAAATGCTATGTATGCTGCCTTTAACTCGGGATTGCGATTTAAGCGCCGTTCCAGTGACTCGAATCTCAGCTTAGCAGACTCGTATGAAGATCCTAGATGTCGTGGGTCATCCTTAAATGGTAGCCGAACAATAATTCTACCATCTGCTTGTTGGCGTACAGAGCGAGTAAACATTTGTTCGCACTGCAGTTACTCAGGTATGAACTTGTCGATTGGTTTACTCAAATCCTCGATACGCCAGAGTCGTTCCAAATTGTTGTTTATTGACTCCTCCTGTGAGAGCGAGTAGCAGTGCGTCTGTTGCTGTCCTCCCTTATAGCGTCCAGACACAATCCATCCAAGTAACGTTTTCTGAAGCATAGGAAGGTTGGGACCCAATTTGATTTGTCCCACTGCAAGAATTTCAAAAAATGTTTCGGTGCCAATAAGTAAATCGATATGACGAGTTTTGTGAAACTTCTCATCAGCTAAAGGTGTGTTCTTCGGTATGTTCCCTGATGAAGTGTCGATGTCCGATTCCGGCTGATAGGCAATGTGTGACGTTACGCAGAAATCAATGGGCATCTTGAAATCCTCCAAGCGTGATTTGATTGTGGCCGAAGTGCCAAACTTGATGTATGTGTGTGACTCACCAACGCTACAGATTCGCATGTGCCGTTTGACCTTTGGCAAGCGTAGTCCTTATGCGAACTGTTCTGAGATGAAGTTAACCTGTGAGCAAGAATCCAATAGAGCACGACCGATCCTGTAGATTCCAGATGCATCCATGACCTCAACGATGGCCGTTGCTAGAATGACTTGGTCTGTTCGATTGGTGTGTGTATGTGTCACCACATCATTTGAATTCGAGCCGCTGGGCAACATAGTTGTCGATCTACTCACAGTTGCCGCTCGATGTAGTAAGCTGTGATGAAGTCTCGAGCAACATCGACATCGTTGAGTAGAAGGACACTTGGATGCCTGGTGGCCCTTGCCAAGACAGTTTAGGCACAGACCATGTCGTTTCGCTGCTTCATAGCGCTCTGCAACCGACATATCTTGAAGTCGACTGCAACGTGAGACTCGATGCTCTGAGCTAAGACAAAGAGGACATGAGTGAGTTGAACAATTAAAAGACAAACCATGTCGCGTGGTTGTCTGGCTTCGTGGTTTGCTAGCAGTCGCTGTACGGGCCTGGCTCGATTCGGACTTACCGCATGATTCCAAATATTGGCAATGCCTCTCAACTACCTGTACACATAAATCCCACGTAGGCAACTCGGAATAATCCAATGATTCGTTCCATTTGCGCATGTCCATCTTATCCATAACAATGGCTATTAACATTGCCTGTGCGATTTGTGCCTCGTTGCCTAATGATTTTAACGAGTTGTACAATGCTGTAGAGCTGTCAATCAAACTTCGAATTTCGTGGCTGTTTGACTTTGATACTCTCTTGAGCATAAATAACGACGAGATATTGTCCAAGAACACTAATGGTGGATTGTCGTAGCGTTGATTCAAGCGATCAAGTGCCTTTCGGTAGTTTTCAGGCGTGATCTGAAATGCCTTACCGTTTCTAATGCTGGTCCCTTTAAGCAGCTGATCAGTTGATTAAACTTCTCGATGTTTGATAAGCTGTTCTGTTGATCCACCATTTGGTTGAATAGCGCACTAAAATTCTTGTAGTCCGCATAATTGCCATCAAATGTAGGTAACGCAAGTCTGGGCAGCTTGGCCGACGATAAGAATGTGGGCCCAGATACCGCAGCGAATGTTGATTCGTGTATATCCTCCGTGAGTTGCTCTGTAATGCAAACCTTTATTTCTACATACAGTTCCTCCAATTCGGTGCGTCCTGTATCGGTCGAACATTCCCTTTCAATTTGAGTCTGCAATACCATTGCTTGCTTAAAGTAAGCTTCCAAAATTTCCAAGCGACACTTTAATTCAGCTTGAACTGGTGCAGATTTCCCTTCTCTTAGTTGGGGATCGACAACATTACGAATTCGGCTAATATTCCGGCGAGTATTCGCGCGCTGTGTTTTAAGGCTCTCTAGAGACATGATTTGATCAACAACTTTAGGATTTTATTTCACTCAACTGAGCGCATACAATATTAAGCAAGAAGAAGAGTAATTCCAGCGACGACTTTCAGTGCAATTGATGCGTATGTATATAAGTGCGTTTGTGATTAACTGCACTTATGTATTTATAATTTGACGAATATGATTTATCCAAACCGACGAATATGATAGAAAGCGCACTGTCGATAACTTGCTGCTGCGATCGCGGGGGGATCGTAGGGGTAGCGAAGTGACGAAGATTGCAAAGCAGACGCTGCTTTGCTGCGAGAGATTGACGAAACGAAGAAGATGACTCGGTGATGCGACGGCGGGGGCCGCAGAGCGACAGCGAAGTCAACCAAAGTGAATGACCGGTGCGAATAGCAAGGCAAGCGAGTGTATGCACAACTAATAGCTTGTATGCTGATATATCCCACTTATGCACAGAAGTATGTATGCAGAATATGTCTGTACATAAGCCAAATTATAACTCTAAATGCGTTGCACGGAACTTGAACAGCAATGCCCCACGTTGGGCGCCAAAATGTAAGATCAGAAGCGTTTTTCTGTCTAGCATGAGTTCAGAGTATGGGGATGCTGTTCTAACTAAACAAATGAGCCGTATATGAAATTCAGCGCATCGTAGGTGCAACGTTTATTCGTAGAGTTCTTGATATACATACACTAAAAGTACAAACGTATGAGCAAGCGCAGCTTGCTTAGAGCTAGGCGAATTAATGCAAGTAATAAGAGTTCACCACGCAAGAGAGATAGAGTAATTAGGGTGAACCCAAATGTAAAAATATAGGTATAAAATTCAAGTTAACAATAAGATAAGTGAATTTGGCCCAACAACGCACATAAAGTATAGTTAAAATTTCAATTCCGGTGTATTTAAAAATAAAAATTAAATAGAAAACTCATTTATGAAAATTTAAAAATATTTTGAAACAATTAAAAAAAATTAACATCAGTTGCATCGATCGGGATTCGAACCGCGACTTCTCGATCGAGCGTCATGCAGCTAACACACTAGGCCATCTCACTCCTGCTAGTGGCGCTGGCAAAACTCAAATACATTCACTGCTGCTGCGCCATCTACCAAAACTAAACGAAACTAACAGCTGATGTGATTCAACGAATGTTTCTAGAAGAAGTTTGAATGTATGTGTGCACACGCATACGATGCTGTTGTAGCTGCTGCACGTGCGTTTGTTAATTGGTCAAATACTTGATTATTTTTTATTAATTTTTGACTGAACGGAATTTAATGAAACTTTCAGCATATGATCTACATATTATATTGAATATTTGAGAAATTTAAAAAAAAAAGAAAAATCATTCACAATTAGCTATAATGGCATCTGACTTGAACTTGAATGTTTTTACTCGATAAAAACATAACGGGATGATTTATCGACTTTTAAAAGCAAACTCGACGTCCGCGCTGTATATACGGTCATTACACACACACGCATAAACACGCATGGGCGGCAGTGAGCGCTTACTATGAGAACTTAATTGCTTAATAACATTTTTTTTGGGCGTACGATCTTCATGAAACTTTCAGATTATGATTATAACATGGATATGCATGTAATTGCCGAAGCACAAGTCTCTAGTATTTGAAATATTTTACAAAAGTGAGGGTGAGGGGGTGAATTTAAGGGGGGTGGGGGGTAATTTTTAACCAAAACCGAAATTGTATAAATTGCATATAAGCATACATTAAAAATTTGGAGACTCTAGCAATAAAGGTGTAGAAGATATAATTTTATAACTGGTTTTCGATAAGGATTTTTAATGATAAACTTGATATGCGCGCTGTAATTACGGACATTAAAAAAAAAAATTTGAAGTCTCTAGCTCTTATATCTTCTGAAATCGACGCGTTCATACATACGGACAGACGGACGGACGGACAAACGGACAGGGCCAAATCAACTCAGCTCGTCGCCCTGATCAAGAATATATATACTTTGTGGGGTCTGCCACGCCTCCTTCTGCCTGTTCCATACATTTCAACAAAACCAATATACCCTGATTTCCCATTGAAAATGGGTTCAGGGTATAAAAATATACACAGACCATCAACCACTTACAAATTTGCTTAGCAGTTGGAATGGCAACGCTCGAATCAAACGATGGAAAACGTACCTAGAAGAGTTTGATTATGAACTCCTTTATAAACCAGGCAGGGATAACACAGTAGCAGACGCATTGTCAAGAATACCCATAGTAAACCAAATCAATTCAGTAACATCTACTCAGCATAGCGCAGAAAGTTCAAGTCATAACCTAATACCTAGTATGGAGGTCCCGATAAACGTATTCAAGAATCAAATATTCTTAAACAAAGCAAACACAGACGACTATAAATTCCAAATTCCTTTCCCAACTTTCCATAGACACCTAATAACTAGACAAGAGCTCACAGAAAATAACTTACTTCAGATATTAAAAAAGTATTTAAACCCTTCTGTAATTAACGGAATAATAACGTCAGAAGAAATCATGAACCAAACTCAACAAATATACCGCAAACACTTTAGGAATTATAAAATCAGATTCACCCAGACACAAGGGAAGGACTTGACTAACGAAACAGAACAGGACGAACATATACTAAAAATACACAATAGAGCTCACCGCAACGCAATAGAAAATAGAAAAAACAATTATCAGAAACCCATTACTTCCCTAAAATGAAACAGAAAATAGCGGCATTAGTCAAACAATGTCAAGTTTTTAAAGAAGAAAAATACGACAGACAACCAAACAACCCTAAACTAAATGAAACACCCATACCTCAATATCCTGGACATATAATTCATGTAGACATATACACGACAGGCAAAAACTTAGTCCTGTCAGCAATAGATAAATTTTCGAAACTAGCCCAAGGACGCATCATCAAATATAGAGCAATAGAGGACAAAAAAAACACTTTACGACATTTTATTTTATTATGGAGTTCCGAAATTCGTGGTCATAGATAACGAAAAATCTCTGAATTCATGCGAGATCATAAAAATTTATAGCACTCCACCTTATAAAAGCACAGTCAACGGCCAAGTCGAACGATTTCACTCTACGTTTTCAGACATCATGAGATGTAACAAAAGAAAACAAGAATACAAAACTTTTCAAGAATTAATTGACAAATCAAAATACGACTATAACTACACCATTCATTCAACGACTAACAGACGACCACTAGATTTGTTTTTTGGCAGAAACCTAACGACGAACCCAGAACAATATGAACAAGTAAGAAAGCTCTAGTCGAGACTACTCGACTACGAGATCCCCTGAACCCTTGGAGCAATAGCTATTTCAATAATTTTTCGCGTCTTACAGCTTACACAAGAAACACGCACACACACACACACACGCACGTACGCACACACAGGCATACATACACACACACGCATACAGACACACATACACACACACACGCATACATACACAAACGCATACACACACACACATACACACACATACACACACAAGCAACCACGCATAAACACGCATGGGCTGCAGTGTGCGCTTACTATGAGAACTTAATTATTTAATAACTTTTTTTATGGACGTACGATCTTCATGAAACTTTCAGATTATGATAATAACATGAATATGCATGTAATTGCCAAAGCACAAGTCTCTAGTATTTGAAATACGTTTTTTACAAAAGTGAGGGTGAGGGGGTGAATTTAGAGGTGGGGGGTAAATTTTAACAAAAACCGAAATTGTATAAATTGCATATAAGCATACATTAAAAATTTGGAGACTCTAGCAATAAAGGTGTAGAAGATATAATTTTATAACTGGGTTTCGATAAGGTTTTTTATCGATAAAAAAAGATCGAGATGAGTTATCGATTTTTAATGATAAACTTGATATGCGCGCTGTAATTACGGACATTTTAAAAAAAATTTGAAGTCTCTAGCTCTTATATCTTCTGAAATCGACGCGTTCATACATACGGACAGGGCCAAATCAACTCAGCTCGTCACCCTGATCAAGAATATATATACTTTGTGGGGTCTGCCACGCCTCCTTCTCCCTGTTACATACATTTCAACAAAACCATTATACCCTGATTTCCCATTGAAAATGGGTTCAGGGTATAAAAATCTAGACAAGACATCATTGACAGACTTAGACAGAAACAAACGATGGACTTACAGAACCACAATAAAAGACGCAACGAAATACGTACCTACACACCAGGACAAGAAATATACGTCAAGATCAACAATAGACTAGGAACTAAATTGTCTCCCAGAGATAAAAAAAAAAACAGTAAAAGAGGACAGAAACACAACAGTGCTAACCTCAACAAATAGAGTCATACATAAAAGTAATATACACAAGTAAGAAGGCTCCAGTCGAGACTGCACGACTAGGAGATACCCTGAACCCTCCAAACTGATATTCTAATCATTCTGGACTTCTTTTATGCACACATACATACACATGCACGTATAAGCACGCGCTCTGCAAACTGCGCAGCTAGCAGCGGCTGCGCTTGGGCTGCACTGCAGTGTGGGCAATATAATGAGAATTTATTTGTTGAATAATTTCTTTTGTAGAGATACGATCTTAATGAAACTTTTAGAGCGTAATCATATGGCTAAAATGTGTGTACATTCCAAAGCACAAGTCTCTAGTACTTGAAATGCGTTTTTTACAAATTGGGGGCGAAGGGGGCGTGGTATCCAAAATCTGTAAATTACAAAATCTTTGTATCCATTAACTTTATATACAACGCAAATTTGAAGTCTCCAGGTCTAAAAGTGTTCAAAATAAGCTGAAAAAACAATGTCGATTTTCGA